TTTCATGTGTCTGGTTTTATCGTGGTGATTTAACAAAGCTGGGGTATTTGTGAACAGGTGTGCAGCCAGGACACTTCCGTTTCCCTACTCTACATGCATAAAAGTGGTGACTTGGGATCATATCCTAGCTCTTTCACAGAGTCTCATCATGACGCCAGAATTCCCTGGGTACCTGCCTGCTGCTTTGCTGCTCAGATGACAGTGGAGATGCTCCAGTGGGGAAGTCTTCATTGTCACCACTGGGGACTTTCAGTCCCATTTCTCCAGCTGCCCCAGTCACCTTCCTCGGGGATAACACCACCTCAGAGCCTTCCCTGCCAGTAATCCATCCCCTACCCTCCTTGCAGTGACTCACTGCTGTCCCCAGGAAGAAACTGAATCACAATCTCAGCAACTTCTGCTGACCCCGTTTACAGCCCACAACACAAACACGGGCGGCAGACCAAAGCGGAGGTGGGAAGCCGAGCTTTTCGTTAAGCAAGCACATTGTGGGACCCTGGAAAGAAAGATCTGTTTGCACGCTGCTCGCTCTGGCATGCCTGTGCATGCAGGCACTGCATTCCCGAGGGAAGCTGGGTTCCTGTGGGGACAGGAGCCAGAGCCTGGACGGGAGCCGCGTGGGAAGCCGGCTGCTCCGTTCTTTGCTTTGATAAAGTGGTGGTTTGAGTCCACCTATGAGAGAACCCCTTCTGCGGGCTTTGCTTTGGCAAGGCTGCTCTGTAAATTCAGCTCCTTGCTTTGTAATCTGGGGTGATTTAAAATCTCTTTGTGCTTTTTGAAGCTGGAATAATTAAAGTGGTGCTGGCAAACAGAGAGGTGATATATGTAGCAAAAGTCAAATTTCAGGCTAGAGGCAATCTGCATGTGCCTGGGATCTGCCTGATGAATAAAATGAAGCTAAAGGAGGACAAGCTAGTGGGGTTATAACAGGTAAGGAGGTGTAAACTCAAGTGATTGCTTTGTATGAAGAAAAAAGAGGTACCATTTTGCCTCTTTGGGCTAGAACCCATGCAGATAAGGTAGAGCCCCTTGCTCTGCAGAGGGACAGAGCTTTTGATACCCTGCTGCATCTATAGGTATGGTATAGGAGCTATATGCACAGAGCGCTTGCAACCCCAGGCTGAAACCAGCTTGGCCACAGATGCCCCCATTACAGACACCCCCTTTACACACACCTCCATTACAGGCACCCCAAGTACAGACACCCTCGTTAGAGACACCCCCAGTACAGGCATCCCTATTGCAGAAGGGGGCTCAGCAGAGGATGCGACTGCACTCGTCCCTCAGGTTCAGACCTTGCTGCAAAGACAAAGCCTTGGGGAAATTCAGAGGGTACTTTTTTTGTTGTTTACTTAGCTTGTGGGAGTTTAATATTTAATCGCTGCAGAGGAGTGAGTGGGTTAGTCATGTAATTGTTAGCCATGATTTCTGCCTTTTTTCCTTCTGTCCTTTGTTCTTCCTTATCGCGGCTCTTGCATTTTGTGGACTAAACCGGCTTCCTATCATGGCCCGCTAGTCCTTGATTTCTTAGTAAACAGCATTTTTATGGCATTAACAGGAGTGTCTTCATTTAAAAAGCTTAAATGAAGGGCATAGGAGTCCTTAACCTCAAAGGCTCTCTAACCTCAAAGGAGGCGGATGCTTCCCCAGCAGGCAGGCATAGGTCCAGGCTGTGAGTACCACTGCTCCTGCAGATCAAAGAGCCATAACATGATCCCAGGCTTCTCCCAGGAGAAGCAATGTTGAAGCTCCCCTGTGTCCATTGCTAATTTCTCAGATGAAAGAGGTGCAAAATGATAAATGACCATATGACTCCAAACAAGGGATCCATTTGCTGAGTGAATGAAACACTTTTTTATCCACTACCCTCAAAGTGTAAAACAAGTTCCAGGCTTGGAAGCTGGTAGATAAGCGTGCCACTACTTGCAACTACATCAGGCAACCCCGCAGGGCTGTTCCCTTCAGGGCAGGTTTGTGTCCCAGTGTGGCTTGCGGCTGCTCCCTAGGTTCACCTCTGCTCTCTCCCAACATGTGCCATGAGAAACATAGACTCATAGAACCCCAGAGTGGTTTGTGTTGGAAAGGACCTTAAAGCTCATCCAGTTCCAACCCCCTGCCATAAGCAGGGACACATTTCAATACACCAAGTGTCCTCAATTGCTCAAAATACCACAGAGCATCCCAATGCACCCTGTGGAATTGTCAGGAGGTATCAGGGGAAAAAACCACTCCAATCCACTTACCATGGAAATAGGGTCTCTAGCTTTGAAATATGAAGCTACCTGGCTAACTTAGATAAATTATGGCTGGATGAGCACAGCAGTTTGACAGCAAAGGTAGCATTAGGCATGAGAACATCTGTCAGCATCTGTCTGCTTTAGGATGACAGATTGCAGCTAGCAGAGATGCCGGCGTTGCCACTGGCTGAGCAGAGCTGCAGATGACCTGGCAATGCTGCTGTTTGCACAACCCCTTGAAGCTATTGCCACAACCTGTGGAGCTGGTTTTAGCAAGAGTGGAAAATCAGTGGAGAGAAAGGCAATGCTGAAAAGCCAGACAAGCTAGAGCTGTATCTGGAGCAGTGCTGAGTGCATTGTCAGTTAAATCATTTTTAGCAGTGGTCCAACTTCATCCATGTTCAGCTATGAGTGTACGTTGATGGCTACAGGGCTTGGAAAAAGGGCTCCAGAGAAAAACTATCTCCTAAAACCTTGGCCTTGGTGGCCAAGAAGAGGCCACTATTACCCCCTGTGGTAGGTACTCACTCTGCCACGTGCACAGGGGCTAATATCTCAGTGCAAAACCCCATTCCCCACCTTGGAACTGGCACTGGCTCCAGGTCCCCCACATCGCCAGTTCAGGGTGGCTTCTGGACATGTACTGTTGGCAATGGGATTTTATGGGTAGTGTCATAACTGCATTGTTACCATGAGGACATGATAAAAAAGCCTTATTCTTGCACTGACTTCAATGAAAGTGTAAATCCTAGAGAGAATGGAATAAAGATACAAGTAGTTTAAATTGCTAAGACTCCAGCTGGGCAGCTTTTGATGACAAAATATTTGCTCTCAGTTCACATCAGTAACTCACTGTGTGCAATGTGCAAAGACTTTGCCTTCCTATATTAAAAATTAGAGCAGTTTAAAGTTAAATGCACTTAGGTTCGGTTGAGTTCAGGACCAAATTTCTGGTTGCTTTAATTGCAAAGGTCAATTTTAATCTTTCCTCCAATGTAAATAGAAAGTGGCATTACTGAGGCAGCAGAAATTGCAGGAGGACACAACAGGAGTTATAAAAAGCAAATCATGCTGGGTGATACTGGGAGCTCCTCAGAAGCAATGAGGTGGGAAAACTGGGACTGTTCTAGAAGGATGACAGGCATCACCCAAGTAAGTTAGAAGAGTGATTAGGAATGATCTCAGTTCTTCTGCTCAGAAACCAACCTAAGACATTACAAAATGTTTTTGCTGGAGATGTAGAACAGCGCTCAGGGAACAACCTGGGAAGGAGATACCAATGGGCTAAAAAGCCAGAATTTGGGAATGTCACCAGAACCTCATGATTTCACACATTTTCTAAATCTGAATATCAAAAACATTTTGCATTCTTTCCAGATACTCTGAAATGGCAACCAAAGTTTCTATTTTCCTTTTCAAATCTAGGCACAGGGTTGTTGTGCTCGTTATCTGTGGTTGTATAATGTAATACAGTGGATTTTACAGAGATATCTGTAACTTTTAACAGCATTTTAATAATTGCCTTTTCATTTTGTTTTATAAGCTTAAAAGTTACAATGTTAACTGTTAGCCAAGGGGCTCAGTACACATCAATTCTTGTCCATTTCTTAACAGCCACCAATATCAGTTACTTCCCAGCCCTACAAATTGCTCCCGGACTACAGAAAAGAAGAAAGCTCTTCGCTTTTCAAAGTAAAACTGTTTCAAGCATATATCCTTAAAGGCTTACAAAACTGGCACATCAATCTTGAACCAGGAAAAGCTGTGTCCTCCATGCTGAAGGCAATGCTGAGTTTTGCTCCCGAAGGAGAACAGCTCCTGCAGTGCCTCAGCATGTCCCTGCTCTAGTGGAAGGTGTCCCTGCCCATGGCAGGGGATTGGAATTGTGTGAGTTTTCAGGTCCTTTCCAACCCAGATCATTCCAGGATTCTATGATTACTGATTTTCAGATTGTTGCTGCTTGGATCTCCATCTGCAGATCCTTGGTCTAAGACTCTGCCATTTATGTGGGCATCCTGGTGGGGACTGCTCCATGCTGAAGGAGCACATCCATAAGTGGATACTGACAAGAGGCACAAACAGTGGGGTTTTCACTGCCTGGCACATTGCCTCAACCTGCCACCAGGCACGGCCAGATGGAGAAACCCAAAGTGCCATCACCAAGGAATTCCCCAGCATGGGAAGTGTTAGCCACAGTTAAGTCAGAAGGGTGTGCCAAGGGCAGGGCATTGCAATGTACTTTGGGATCTTGCTACAACTGAATGAAATATTTCTTACTTCCACCCATCCTGGACTGTGACTGTGACTGAGACTCAGAGCTGTTACGGTGAAGTATAATGTTATGGCTCCAGGTGAAAGTAGAACCATCTGCTTTGCTCTGCACTATACTATATAATATAAATGTAAATTATCTCTGTAATATAATGCACAGTGAAGAACTCATTTAATAGTGTATCTCATTACCTCTGTCTCACATTCAGCATGCTTCAATAGGGTATCACTTCTAATAATAATAAATCATCTTTACACTGTTGTATACCTTCATGCGTACACCTCAGATCCTTGACAAGAGGTGTATATTGCTAAGCCCGGCCACAGACAGAAGCAAAGCACCATCCTGAGCCGAGTAAGTGGCTGCAACCACTATGCAAGCTGAAAGCCCTCCAGGCAGTTTGCATATATTTCAGGGGAGAATACGCCCTTTTCTGAAGAAGATTAAGCTCTCCTCTTTTAAGCTTTGCAATGAAAGAGATAGTCCCCAACTGAAGAAAACATTTCACACTTTTTATTGCAAAGACACTGTGTTTTAAAGACAATTCACTTTTTTTTTTTTTTTTTGCTGTGGAATGGCTTTGGGCTAAAACAGAGTAAGGGGGAAAGGGCTTTTTGTTTTCCAGTAATAAACTTTATATCTAAAACTGAGGAAAGGAAAATAAAAATTCATTGTTTGATGGAAAATAAGGAATCTTCATATGTATTTTAGCATAATGCTATGCACATAGGAATGAGGAAAACAACTGCAACATAAGAATATTAAATTCCTACTGCTAACAAACTTCAAATGTTTAACTATGACTTTCAGGGCAGTGAAGTACTTAAAAGGCTGAGAAATTACTTCATCATTGTGTATCAGCACTTAAACACAGCAATTACATCAGGGTGCTTTTCTACCTCAGTATCACATTAATAACAAGATCCAGTGACTGACAGCTGAAGCTGAATGAATTCACCCTCCATGTGAGATTAAATTTCCAGGCTCTGTCAACATAATTACAGCAGAAGAGATGAAGTTTTGGCTCTCACTTAGAGGCTGCATATTAGAATCATAGAATCATATTGCAAATACTCTTTTGAATTAAACTCTGTGCTTATATATGCAGGGATTTTAATGCTTCTGCTCCTCTCCTCCCTCTGGGAGGTATGAAGAGGTTTGTCTGTGTTGCCCTCAAGATGCCCATTACACACATGGTTTCACTATAAGGCAATGGCTGTAGGGAAACCTCCTTCTTCAGCACTTTAGCTAATCACCTGCAGGGATGGAGAGGATGGAGTTTACCCATTATCTACTGATGGCTCAGGGATCAGTGTTACCTTCTTAAGCTTCAGAAACTGTCTGTAACTGAAGGTTGTGCTCCTGAGGTGGAGAAGACAGCCTCATTTCTTAGAGTCTACCCTAGCGTCTACCTAGAGTCTATCTAGAGTCATGTGTTTGAAGTCACAGCAATCAGCAACCCTGGAGTATGAAGGGAGGTTCTTCCCCAGGCCCTATTGACAGGAACCTCATAGAACTTTTGTCTACCTCTGCATTATGGCAAATAATTTAATTAATTAACATTACCTAATCAATCACTGCAGAAAACTCAGACATTCATCCTCTGGGATAAAGTTTAATGACTGAATAGTTTTCCTTGGTTGCTAATGCTGAAGGTGTCAGCAGAGTGATGACCTTGCCTGCTCATAGCCTTTAAGAAAAGCAGTCCCACTGAGTCAGCAACACCCCTCTTAAAATAGTGCACAGGAGGCATACTGCATGTGGATGGAATTTGCAATATTGAAACCATAAAAAAAGAGCATATAGTGAAAGCATTTTGCTCTACACTTAGTAATTCACTGGCCAGGCTTTTTCCTGTTTTCCACTGTAACATAACTATTAGTTTTAACAAAACCGTTTTGTCTAAGGCAGAATTAATTTCTTTAGAGCAATGAAGTGAGGTTTTGTTCACAGCTCTTTATTTCTGCCTATGTATAAATTTGCTGAACTTCCTCTGCTGGGCAAAATTATCCATCATGAAAATACAACTAGAAAAGTTAAGAACTGGGATATTTTGGAATTGTTGAGTATTTCTGCTTTGTTGCCATGACATGCAAGATGTGATATTATATATGGGGTATATATGTGATATGCATGTTTACATCTGTGTATTTGCATACACACATATAGAGATATATATGACTCCTTTGGGTATTACTTTTACACACATGTGTGTTAGAGTTTCCATACCTTGTGAAATAAACACTTGCTCTTAAATGTGTGTATCACCGCAGGTCACCCACCAAATGTTATTCATTGCAGCCTATATTTTGAGTAACTGGAATCCCAGCAGGAATCAATGTCCAAACTCACCCGTTTCAGTGCTGAGAATCACAAGTAGCTCCTGAGTAAAGGATCAGTACAGAAGGGGCCTGCCAGTACTTTTGCCAGGCATGAAGATGGTGTGAGAATACCTGCCAGCTTTTGAGAACTACGAATAGAGGCAACTGGAGAGGAAATGAGTGCCTGTCTCAGAATTCTGCTGGAATACCCTGGGCTCCGAGCCAACCTCTAAATTGCAGGCAGCGGCACTGCATGGGGCAGAAGTGCAGACTTTCTCCCTGAAAGCTTTGAGACATTGCAGGGTAGGCAAAAAATAGATTCTGTCCTTTGTAAGCTTTGCACACCTAGTTTGTACTGCAGAAGAACGGGAAAGCAGCCGCGTGATCCCATCCCTTCAGAGCTGAAGTGTACCTGTTTGTCACCACAGTGTCTTTCAACTGCTACATTTGCACACTCCACAGAAAGGAATACTGAAAATACATAATTGCTTCAAAGTCAGTGAGCTCAGCTGAGCTTTAAGTAACCTGGGTACCCGTACAACAGTGTAACACTAGAACTACTAGCATCTTCCTACTGAAAGTAAGTTTTGCCTTAAATCAAGGCATTAGGCATGATTATAGTTATGTTTCTATGCACAAAGATTGATAACTAAAGGGTTTAGAGCTGAGATGTACCCTGTTGGGCTCACCCACACTCTCTGTGTAACTCATAGGGGAAAATCCACGTTGGTGGCAGCTGACCTCTCCATCTCACATTGGTTTGTGGTTGAGCTCTTCATCTTTTGGCTCACCACGTGCATAGTTCATAAGTATACTTTTGCCAACAGTGCAACTTACAGAATCTGGCTATTTTAAAAAGTTTGCATGTCATCTTAAGCAAATATAGTGCATTCTATACAGAATTGTCTCCTTGCTAAATTGCAAACACAGGAAGTATTAGGCCACCCCAAAAGGAAGGTCATACTGGTCTTCCATGATGGAACCTATGGTAAACTACAATATGTCTGCTGATTCCAATGAAATAGGTCTAGAGGGAGGTGTCCCTGCCCATGGCAGGAGGTTGGAAATAGATGATGTTAATGTCCTTTTCAACCCAAACCATTCTATGATTCTATCGATATATTCCCCCTTTTAAATGTAATAATCTCTTATTTTTCCTCCTTTTCTGAGCCCTATTATCACAACTCATGGTAATTCAGACCTTGTCTGGGAGGCTGGAGAAAGTCAAGGCATAGCAAACCATAGACTGCTGTGGTTTTCATGTGCCACCTTTTGCACATTCATCATGAAAAGGCGTTTGATTGCACAGCTTTTTGACTGCAAAAGGGACATCTGCTTTCTCCAAGAGGCCCTTCCCTGTTCAGTGCAAGGGCAGGCCACATCCTGCAGGCACTCAGTGAGTTAGTTCTGTCAGAAATGTCAGCTCGGGACCTAAGCGGGGAAGGATGCGGTGCAGGCTACTGTTGATTGTGTTACATTAACTCCAGTATAACACTGTTAAGTGAAAATCATCATAGAAATGTATGAATAACTGTGAATAGAGAGCAGGCTGAAAAGCTTCTGGCTCGTGCAGCTGCGGAGCGTGTGACCTCGCCAGGGTTTGATAGGGAAAAGTTGCCATGGGAATGGTGAGGCATTGTTTGCGGCTGACTTTGGCTTTTATTGTTGTGCCCTGATTACAGCTTTTGTTTCGTTGTGAAGTACAGTTGTGAAACGCCAGCTTGAAACAAAGAGGTATTGACAGGCAACGGCTGAGTTCAAACGGCTTTTATATTTAGGGATATCATAGAATCCAGGAATGGTTTGTGTTGGAAGGGACCTTAAAGCTCATCCAGTTCCAACCCCCTGCCACGGGCAGGGACCCCTTCCACTGGAGCAGCTTGCTCCAAGCCCCTGTGTCCAACCTGGCCTTGAGCACTGCCAGGGATGGGGCAGCCACAGCTTCTCTGGGCACCCTGTGCCAGCGCCTCAGCACCCATAACACTGTTTTAAACTAGGAAAAAACCCTCTATTTCAGAAACTACTAACTATAAACTTAGTATACGCTTAGAAAAGAAGTCAGCTTTCCCATTAAAACTGGTTAAATGTCATTACTGGAAATCACTGTTTGCCACCAGGACCACAGTGACTGCTGGCAAAAAGCTCTGAGGCAGCAATAGCCAAGCCTTCTGTGAGGGGAGAAGTGTAGGGGACGAGCCTCCACTAATCCCAGCAGCTAATTCCTTTCCTGCTGGTCCCTCTCCATGAAATGAAATATGAAAATCAAAGTAATAGCTTTCCAAGCTGCGAAAGGGAGCGGGAGAGACCGCATGACTACAACTCCCATCAGGCATTGCGCCTCCCGCACTACATTTCCCAGAAGGCTCCGCGGCGCCGCACCGCCTGGAGGCGGGGCCTCAACGCATGCGCACGCTGGGGTGAGGTGAGGCGGGGCGGGGGCTTCGGCCGTGTCGCCGCGGTCAGTGGCGGCGGCGAAGTTTGTTCGGAGGGAGAAGGGGCGGGCGGAGGAAGGGCCGGGCCGAACTGAGCCAAGCCAAGCCAAGCCAAGCCAAGCCGGGCTGGGAGCGCGGCAGGAGGCGGCGGGTCCCCGCGGGCCCGGCTCTCCCCACGGGGACTCCCGGACTGCCCTGGACTCCAGTAAGTGCCTGGGCCCGGGGCGGCAGCGGCGGAGACGCTGAGGCGGTGGCCAGGGGGCTGGGGCGTCCCGGCCAGGCCCTGTGGGTTGATGCGCTTCCTTCCGCGGCTGCCTGGTGGTTGACCGGGCAGGGCACTGTCCCGTTCCCTCGACGCCTCTGCCTTTGTGTAACTCGCCGGCCGTAACCGCTTCGTGCTTTTCCCTTCCCTTCTCCCGCTCCTTTTTCTTCCTTTTCGTTTTCTTTCGACGTTGCCTTGGCGTGGGGGCTTCACCTCGGGGCAGTGTATAGGAGGCCGTGGCATAATTGCCCTGGTAATGCAGTCCGGGCTCTGTCACATCCCCAGAGGTAAGAGGATGATCTCATTACCCCTAATAAATACATATACTATTTTCTTCTCCCCTCTTCTTCTCAACTTCGGTCTTTAAGCATGATGGGAAGGAGCGATCTTATCTGGGCAGAGCCCTGCAGTGATGGTGCCTGGGAGGGTGTGGGCTCCCCGAGCACCCTGTTTGCCAGTCCGGGCCTCTCGGTTGTGCTCCCGTTTGGTGTTGAAATCTCAACCTGCAGCTTCAGGGAGACCTGAGTGTGACTGGGACAGCTAACACTGAGCGTTACTACTGTGTTTTTACCTCTTAAAGGCGCTGGTTCTGAAGAGGGCTGCTTTGCAAAGCTGTTGCCTGTGCTGTCGGTGCAAGCCTGTGCCTCAGAGTTGGTGTTTTAGTTTAGTGCGCTGGTTGTTTGCTGAAACAGTGTCTTCAACTGGATAACTTGACTATAAATGAATGTTAAACTGTAACTGATGCTGTTATGTTAGCAGTTTTTAGGAGGTGTGAAATTCCAGATAGGTAGTTAATGTGCTATTAACCTAATACAGACTTATATGCTGTATGTATTGTGCAGTTCCCTTAGGTGTAACTAATGCATAACCTTCATAAAAGGCATTGTCTTTTTGCATAAAGTGTTTGCAAAATAACATCAAGAGGGCAGCAGTTTCTCTTTGAGGAGTAGGCTTCTCTTTTGAGGCCTTTCTTAAATAAAGGTCTGTTTTTCACTAATCAGTGTACTGTTTCAGTTTATAAACAAGCAAATAGAACAGTCTGGCTTTAAGTGGGGAAACAGTTATTAATTTGTTAGGCTGAGCATGATGAATTAGGCATGAGTAGAATAGCACTGCTTATCTGAGTAAAGCTGAGAGAGAAAATTACTTATTTGGGGTTGTTTTTTTAGATCCTTAAAAGCTAGATCTCTCGATGCTTCACCTTCTTATAAAAGCACAGTACTTTTACAGAGACAACCCTGTATATAGTAAGCTGAATGGCATCAGCTCTTTTGTTGCCTTCTGGCAAGTTACTTACTTTACTAAAAGAGGCCATAATGTCTGTAAAGATACATTTTCTGTTCTCTTCCTATTCCCCATTTCCATGTATGAGGTTGGAAGACAGCAATGGTTGTTCACACAGATTGGGCCTAGGACGTGCCAAGACTAGCTTTTCACTGTTGAATCCAGCAGAGTTTGGGTTTTTACTTTGATTTGTCCTTTTCCTTCTTATATTTGGGCTGTGTTCATTATGATGCAGCACAAATACAGTCCTTACTGAAATGGAACTGTGCATGCAACATTGGCTGGTTGCTCTGACATGACTTATTCTCTCTTAATGGATTTACTATACTGTGTTTTTAAGGATGCAGTTTTTAAATACTTTTGTATTTTAAATGTTTTTGGTTTGAAACTGCTTACATGAAGTATGATGAAGTCTTGTATCAGCTTATTTCACAACTGTGTTACAGGTGCAACTTACAAGCAAATTCAGTAGTCCTTGAGAAGGTCCAATTCCAGTTATGCATAGGAAGACTTCTTTTTTAAGTTTTATCACTGGTTCTTATGAGGCCCCACATTGGATACATTTACAGGACACTTGCTGTATTCTAGTAAGTCAGAACAGTGGGTTTGGAACTATTGACTTGCCTTTTAGGTCCCTCAGTCTCATCTTCTATTTCTTGTTATTTTTACTAGGGAGAGTCACACAAGTAACAATACATAAAACTGCTGGGTATGTAAAGCAGAGGAGTGTGGCAGAGCTGTTTTCCTGTTTGTCACATGAGTAAGTGTTAAAAAGTGGGCTGAAATCTCTCATGGTAGAGAGAGATTCTCAGCCTGGTTGATATTTGGAGGAGAGCCTTTTCATTCAGGAATGAATTTAAGCGCTGATGCTGCAGAAAGTGATAACTGAAGAGCTAATACATGGGGGATTTGTGTATCACCGAGTTCACTGAATACAAAACTGGGAGACAGCAGTAAAGCAGAACTTTGCATGACCCTCTTGTGTTATTTTTGCAGTTATTAAATATTGGTGATTTTATTTTGTTAGTATAGGAAATCTAATTTGGAGTTAGTAGATTATTTTCCTAAGCTATTTCTGTGTCTTATAACTATGACTGACTTTATGTTCCACTGTTTAGCTGTGCATTTCAAGGGCAGAAATAAAGATGCACAGTAGGTCACTGATATGTATGTTGCAGTGTTTAAATGTTTCAGAGGAGCAGAGGTTTTCATATAAAGTAGAAAACAGACAAATAACAACTAGTGAATGAAGCATCTTAATGCTTTGCTCATACTCTCCCTGTGTTTATTCTTCCTTAGGAGTAGTAGCTGAGTGACAGGAGACAGACAGATATATGGGAAATAAGGAAGGCACGTACATGAGGAAAAGATCTGAATGGAGGAAAAGGCCTTGGTTTTTCCAGGTAGCTGTGGCTGATTTCAGATGACAAGGGAGCTGTAACAGCAGAAATAATAACGGTTGACTGGATGTCAGAGAGTTAGTGTAGAAGAGAGGAAATGCAAAAGTCAGTTTTTATTGACTGTAAGAGATTAGAAAGAACTGGAGGACATTACTGAAATGTGAACAGATCTCCACTTGTAATGCAGCCTCCTCTGTGATGTTGGACTTGGCCCAAACTGCCAGGCCTGCAAAATTCTTAATCTATTTTAGTAGATTTAGAATTCTATCAGTGTCTTTATAACTAAATGTTTCTGGTTATTTAAGCTGACAGTTATCACAGTAAATGTAGTTCCTTCAGAATGCAGCAAGCCAGCAGAATTGGGAAGTGAGTGTGTATATTAAAGTGAGAAGTTTCCTTCCATGCTGTGGTGTGCGCTTTCTCCTATCCAGCTATACATCAGTGTTTGTCTGAACAGTGGGATACACGAGCACATATCATTCTTGCAAGTTCCTCCCCCCTCCCCCCCTGTGATAATTATGAACAATAGAAACATTCTTAGAAAATACTTAATGAGGTTTGGAGCCAAATGAACCTTTGTGCATAATTGTGTGAAAATACAGGATAACTTCAGTGCCAAAACATGGGAATGTAAGTAACTGGCTTTAGCGTAAAATGCTGAAGAAGTGGACCGAGTGCTGTATATGTCGTCAGGAAACAAACAATACAAGAAATACAACAGTCAGTGTATGTATTCTTTTGGTTTTGAGCCTAAATGCAGCAACACATGGCTGGAAGCATTGCTTTCAGTGCTTTAGAACATTACATAAGAAACATCAATATAAAAATTCTAGAGTGCTTCTGTGCCACACAGAAATAATGTAGCTGCTTTAAAATAAGTTGCCTGCTGAAGAGGTCAGGATATGGCTCAAGTTCAGGTTTTGAAGTCACACTTTAATGCAGAGGATGCCTGAAATGGAATGGGAGATACATTTGAACTGTGTCAAAATTTGTTTTACACTGATCTCCCAAATTAGGACTTTGAAAATGTATATGTCTAAGGTCATCTTGATCTGTGCTGCAGCCTAACTTTGGGAAACACTGATATGATTTCATATATGGCTCAATTCTATAAATAACTCTTTCCTCAGCACTAGGTAGAGTAGCAGGGTTTTGTTGCTGTTGAGGAAGGAAGCTTGGTTCATTGTCTCTGCACTAAGCAGCATTTTCTCCCTCCAGGGACTTGCAGAAGCATCTAGAATGTGTAGGTGTTTCTTTAATCTTGGAGAAGGAACTTATTAAGCTTTCTGGTGCAGAACTGTATGAGCCACTTACTTTTAACAGATGTTATCTGCACTAGTAGGGAGTTGCAGGGCTGGTAGACATTTGTGGCATTCAACAGTTTAAACAGTTTTCAGGTTTGAACATATGCCTTTGCCTTGAAAATCTGAATAGTTTCAAGTATTTTATGTAGAAGAAAGGTGGTTCAATGGTGAGGTTGCTGCTCTGGGACTTGGGAAACAGGTTCAGCTCACTGTGTTGCCAAAAGCTTCCTGTGTGGCCTGGGACAAGCTGCTTCTCTGTCCCTCTGTTCTCATACTGAAACTGCAGAGCAGTAGCAGCTCTCTGCATCGAACAAGTGCGACAAGGAATGTCAGTCAGGTTTTGATGTGTTCAAGTGCTGTAGTAACATGGGGCATGCAGCTCCATTGTGGTAGAAGGGAGAGGCTGTTAAAGACTGCCCAAGGGAAAAGCCAGGGTAAACTCCATAGAGGAAGAGCAGTATCAGAAAAACAGGGAGGGGAAAAAAGTTTTGCCTTGGAAATTTCATGGATCACTTAAAATCAGAGATAGCAAATCCTTAGAACTTTTTGGTGCACTGCATTGCTGTGTTTGTTTAACAGAGAATAAAAACAGGGTTTAAATACCTGAATGAACCAGGCAGATCTTTTCTATTATGATTCTGCCACACAGGAAACAATAGCAAAGCTGTCTCTGTTCCTCTTTTGACTGTTCTCTTTAGAAAGTGCTTTTAATTCCATTAAAATCTAATGCCATACTAGCTAACCATTACATCAGTTTTGTTCATTTGTTCTTCTGTCATGATAGGCAGAATCTCTTTAATTCAGTCTGATTTGTTGACTTTTCACGTGAAAAAGGTTGAGAAAAGGTATCATTTCTACCTCCCCACTCCCCCAAAGGGAAAAAGAGTTTGCAGCCACCTCTAAAGCGTAGTTTCTTTAGTAACTTGATAGAGTTAAAAGTATTTTGGGTTTAAAAATCCTTCTGTTGGAAATATTAAATGGTATTGTCATTGCTGTAAACTGAAAATTAAAACTCAGACTAGACAGCTATTATCAAGCTTTGCAAATGTGTTTTCATTGTTGAGAGTCAACACTCCCAGAACAATCTCTGTCTACTGACAGATAGGTGATAAATTCATTAGTTTAGTATGAAATTGTTTTGATGTGTGTGCTTTGGTACCCACCAGATTTACATCCCATGTCCAAGAAAATGTGTTTGAGCTTGTTCAGACTAGTGACTTAATTAAGTGTTCTGCTGTTAAGCACTAAAACAGTTACATGGCAGGTTTGTTCGAGCAGCCCTCTTAAACTGCACTTCAAAAGATGTTGTTAAATATATTGGTTAACTCCTTAGGGAGGTGTATAACAACAGATGGGAACTTAGGCTATACTAATAATTCATCTGGTGAATTATTTCTACAGCTAGTGTTTCTACTGCCTGGCTGTGGTAGTGCTGCAAAGTGAGGAGGCAGTGCTGCATGGAGACTTCAGAGCAGCTTCCAGTATCTGAAGGGGCCTATAAGGATGCTGGAGAGGGACTCTTCATCGGGAACTGTAGTGATAGGACAAGGGGTGATGGGTTCAAACTGAAACAAGGGCTATTTAGGTTGGATACAAGGAAGAAGTTCTTCCCTGTGAGGGTGCTGAGGTGCTGGCACAGGTTGCCCAGAGAAGTGGTAAATGCTTCATCCCTGGCAGTGTTCAAGGCCAGGTTGGACAGAGCCTTGGGTGACATGATCTAGTTTGGGGTATCCCTGCCCATGGCTGGGGAGTTGGAACTGGATGATCTTAAGGTCCTTTCCAACCCAAACTGTTCTGTGATTCTGTGTTCTTGCTTCAGAAGTGTTCCTCCTTATTCAGGACTTCAGGATTTGGTCATGTTTATTTTTCCTCATTAACCTTTTTTTCCTCCTTTAATTCACTTACACTGCCTTGCCCTGATGTTCAGGTGGAGGAGCAGGCTTTTTTAGGGGGTTCCATTTGTTCCTTTCTTGGGGGAAGGCTGCAGTACAGTATGTTGAAAGCCACCCTGTTGCATACTCCTGGTAAATTCAGGATTTCCAGGCATGTTGTTACACATACACGGGACTTGTGATTCTTGTGGAGTATTTCCGCCTTTCTGTGTATAGGTCAGGCAGCAATCCTGACGAGCGCCAGGAGCCTGATGACTTCCTGCTAATATTGGGATTACTCTGTAGGTGGAGCATTGTTATTCTCCATTTTCATTGTAATTTATGTTATGAGAAACACCAGTGTCCATGTAGGACAACAGCTGTGCTGTAAACTGGTATTTGTGTCGTTGAACAAGTAAGAAGGAAGGTAAGGAACATCAGCAACTAGATATGGGCTATACCTGATGCAAGGACAATTCCCTGTGCTCACAGCTTGCTTCCAAGGAGGAAGGCTGCTGGAAGTTAATTGCATGAGAATTCATAGTGAAGTATGTGCTTCAAGCGTGTGCTGGAACCACATTTCAAAACCTATCACTGCAGATAAGCTTTTATGTTATGGAGTTTCTCTCTGTGTCAGGTGAGACTTTTATTAAAAATACCAGAGTGGGATTTCATTTTCTTAATTTAAGGAGTATAAAAAAGCAGAGGGGGAAGGTAATGACCTCAAAACCTTGCCATTTGATGTGAGCTCAATTTTCTTCTCCCACCACGGTAAGCAGGAGCTGGCATGTGTTGTAAATGAGTGTTGGTTCACTTATATGAGTCAGACAAAGACTTCTTCCTCCTAAAGAGCTTTCATTAAACTTGCACATACTGAAGAGCTCTGAGATTGGTCCTAATCACTGTGAATCCTGGTATGGTTGATAAATAAGCTCTGTTCTGGAGGAGGCATCTAGTCTTTGGTGTACTGGGCATTCCGGCTAGCATAGTGGTGCATGCAGTGAACTGAACGTGATCTGTGTTGTAAAGTCCCACAGTGTAAAAATCACAGGTGAAATCTTCATGGCAATAATTTTTCCTTCCCAAAGTGTTAAAGTAAACAAATCATTGAATTATTTTTTTATACATTGAATTTGCTAAATTAGGTCTGTAAAATCAAACTTGATAATACTCAGTTACTTTGTGTGCTTTGGTTTCATTAAATCCTTATACATTCTTTAAAAAGGTCAAACCAGGTATTCATCTGATAGTGTTCTTTTCATTATTTGATACTTTGAATGAAGTGAAAAAAAAAAATCAGTTATTTACAGGCTTTATTAGACTCCACAGTTTGGTTAGGAGTGTTTAAAATACCTGCTTGCTTGCTTTGTTCTGAGCTCACTGCTGTTAAATGTGTTCAGGTCCCCTCTAATATGCTGTGCTACTAGTAGACGTATGTGATGTGAAATCACCCTTCACAGGTATTCAGCTATTCAGAGCTGGATTTAGAGTGTCTTAAATATGTACAGCTCAATGGAATTAGTCTGAGTATGATATTCATAGAATCACAGAACAGTTTGGGTTGAAAGGGACTTTAAGAACATCCAGTTCCAACCCCCTGCCATGGGCAGGGACATCTTCCACTAGAGCAGCTTGCTCCAAGTCTGTGTCCAACCTGGCCTTGAACACTGCCAGGGATGGGGCAGCCACAGCTTCTCTGGGCACCCTGTGCCAGCGCCTCAGCACCCTCACAGGGAAGAGCTTCTTCCTTATATTTTGGTGTTTAAATTTGGAACTTGCCTTTGGATCTGTATGTAAAAGGTGATCTTTTACTACTGCAACACTCACAAGTTTCCCTCTGTTTGGCTTCTATCCAGTGCTTTCAGCAGAATGTTTTGGTGCTACTGAGGCAGATGATTTTTATTTTCTAAGTAGTGCTTTCAGTATGAACACGCTCTTATGCACACGCTGCTATTTCTTTAACAATGTAAGAGTATGCTGTGAAAACTGAAGAAGATATTTCCAGCCTGTGAATTTCCTAACCAGCTGGCCTCTTCATTTTTTTGCATACTTCACAGGAAGAAGGTCTGTGTTTGTTTGTGCTGGTGAGTCTGTAGCCAGGATTTGGAGTGAGAATCCTCAACACTGCCTCAAAAAACAGCAAACTTATTCTTTAACCAGCCTCACCTTCTTTTTGTGTTAAACTTTCTCAAGTAAAACAAGCTTCATTGGGAGTTGTAGATTTATGGAGGTAGTTTTGGGGCTTCAAATTCATTGCAGTGATTTTGAGACTCTTGGCCTTTGACATTTCAAGACAAGTTTGGGTTGAATTTGAAATAGCTGGCACTGACTGTGTGGAATCTGACTTCTCAGAGTGGTTGGTCCAGATGAAGCAGTTACCAGCAGCTGAAATAAAACAGGTTTTTTTACTAATGAGTAACTAGTAATAATACTAAGTAATCCTAGTAAGTAATGTGCTTATTCCCTGATTAATTTTTAATATGCTTTAGTTGTAAGGAATTGAATAATTTCTATAGACTAATGCATGTAAGCATTTTCAAGAACAAGGATCTAATTTGTCATATTTAGAGTTTCACATACAGCACTTCTTTAAAAGGCTCATAATAACATTAGAAATAATTGTAACTAATAATGAACTCTGAACCTGCTTTTTTATTAAGCATTAAGTCTGTAACTGAAATTAATAAGCTTTAGAAATTGGGTTTGAGGATTATATAAGTCCAAGTGGATGAGCATAACTGTATTTTGTTTTCCTCATCTCTGGTCGTATCTCATTTTGAGTAACTTTGGATTACCTAAACTCAATATAAAGTGGTGAAACTGTACTTCTGACTGTTGTAAAACCTTTGCCTTATGGAACATACTTTTTCATTGTCTTTTAACTTTGCTATTTTACTTTATTGCTTTCTAGGCTAGAGTCATCACTCATAAGTTATTAATAGATACATTTTCAAGAGTGTCTTTTATAATGGGCTCAGTGCACAGGAGGCTTCCTTTAATTTGCATTAGCTCAGTGCGTTTAGAGGGACAGCTACAATACTTGGTTTATCTAGGCAAGAAAACATTAATAGATAAGGTTTTTGTTATTGCTCTTAAGAGATCAGTGATAGAGAGGAATTTTGCATCCTGTGCAGTGTATTTCCTCGTTTCACCATATCCCAGAGCATTTGGCTGCTATTGCAGATACCTAAAAATGGAGGGAAAGAGTTAAATTAAGAGCATGAAGCGTCACTTACAGAAATTCCTGCAGATGTTTTTGAGGAAGTACCCGTCTGCTCCATTGTGAAGCCTACAGGTCACTATTTGAAATGGGCCAGTAGATGATGGATTTGGGCAACTTCAGAATGTTTTCCTTTGAATTCCAATCTTCCGGTAAAACGTAATGATATTTTTACCTGGACAAAGGTAACTTTAGTGAAGTTTAGTCTGAGGATGAAAGGGTTGTGCATGGATTTGATGTCATTTTCTGTGGTGAGTGGTTGTGGCTCTCTGAGCAGCATCTGGAGTTGGGAGACTGTGCAAAACCTTAACTGCCAGTGCATTAGGAAAGGAGGTGGTGCTTTATGTTAATGTATTCTTTGTGCACAATAACTTCATCTCAATTCAATTTGGGCCAAGTGTTTCTTATTGACATATTATTATACCAAGGGTCTTGGGATGTTGCAGGTTTTACTGGATTCAGTGTGTAGTGATGTATCAGCTGTATGGTTTGATGCATTTCTGTTGTAAAAAGCATATTTTAATAAAAGTTGGTTAAATATGCATGGTGAAAGCAGCTGGGATTAATGCTGTGGAATTTAGGTAGTAGATAATATGGAATATGGCTGCCCCATCCCTGGCAGTGTTCAAGACCAGGCTGGATGGGGCTTGAAGCAGTCCGGTCAAGAGGAAGGTGTCCCTGCCTGTGACAGGGAGTTGGAACTGGATGAGCTTTAATGTCCCTTCCAACCCCAACCATTTAGTGATTCTGTGAATAAAATTACAGTCTTTTGACTTGAAGAAGTACACTTTAAAAAGAGGAAATAGTTGGCTTACCCTGATTTAGCAAGTCTTTGAGGAAAACATCAGATCGGATACATTTTGAGGACAAGGTAATGTCTTACACAGACTTAAGTGCAAGATAAAGGCTGCTAGTTTGTTAGATGATTCATCAGTGCAAACTATGATTCTTCTATGTTGTGGCCTGGCTGGAGGTTGTGTCAGGTGCTGGAACAGGGATGCATTGTTTGATATGCCTCATAGCTTGATCAGGGATAGGAGAGGTTAGTGCTACTGGTACCTATTTCATGTTGTTTAGTATTGGATGTGAACTTCTTATGCTTTGGAATTCTCTTCCGGGTGAATACTGGCCTTTTGCAGCTGCTTTTTTCCTTCTTCTTGACCACTTTGGAATCTAAATTTGGAGACTTCCAGTTCTCATTTGTAGATGTAGTTAAATCATTACTAATAGTTTTATACACTTCTAGCGAATCAAAGTCATGTCTTCTCTGCTTAACAGAAGCACACAGTGTCTGTAGTGCCCTCCAGAATAAAAATGATTTAGTAAAGGATCTTTGGGTACTTTTAAAACTGTCAGTCCTAGTGGGTTGGAGCAATCCCAGGCACAGCTACAGGCTGGGCAGACAAGAGATTCAGAGCAACCCTGCGGAGAAGGACTTGGGGGTGTTGATTGATGAGAAAATGAACAGGAGCCAGCACTGTGTGCTCACAGCCCAGAGGATGATCAGGGGACTGGAGCACTTCCTGTGTGAAGACAGGCTGAGAAAGTTGGGGCTGTTCAGCCTGGAGAAGAGAAGGCTGCGTGGAGACCTCATAGCAGCCTTCCAGTATCTGAAGGGGGCCTATAGGGATGCTGGGGATGGACTCTTCATTAGGGACTGTAGTGATAGGACAAGGGGTAATGGGTTCAAACTGAAACAGGGGAAGTTTAGATTGGATATAAGGAGGAAGTTCTTTCCTGTTAATGTGCTGAGGCACTGGAATGGGTTGCCCAAGGAGGTTGTGAATGCTCCATCCCTGGCAGTGTTCAAGGCCAGGTTGGACAAGGCCTTGGGTGATATGGTTTAGTGTGAGGTGTCCCTGCCCATGGCAGGGGGGTTCGAACTTGATGGTCCTTTCCAACCCTAACTATTCTATGATTCTAAATTATCTTTAGTTGTCATCAGAAATGCACCCAAATCATCTCTCCAGCTCCTGGATTAGTGTTTTTCTGTCATGTTTTGTGTATTTAGCAGGTTGTGTCTTTAAGGGGTTTGTGAAAGATGAACAGAGACATTGTCTCTCAGTTTAAATTATCTGTGCAGTGTTCTGCCTCTCCTCAAAGGGTTTCAAGGGGCTGAAAATGAAGGAGTTTGAACAACTGTCCTGGAAGATTTATATGACTTGTTTTCTGAGGCTGTTCTGAGCTGCTTATCTCAGGGTTGGATTTTTTTCCCTTCCTTCTTTGTTGTCCTGAATGCATGCAAGAAGAAAGCTTTCATTGCTGTGCTCTTCAGGGTATCAGCAGGACAGTCTGAACTCATCCCTTACCCTTG